GGTGGCCCGTTCGGGCCACTGGAAAAAAAAGTTAGTGTCGAGCCTTGCCTAACCCTAACCATATATCAAATAGTGACCAGGGTACGTTCCGGCAGTACCCTGGGGGACATAGACCTTATGAGCGGAAGTTAGCTCCCAGTTCCCAGTTCCTTATTCGAATAAGGAACTAGTAACTAGGCAAAGCAGTAATTACCAGTTCCCAGTTCCCAGTTCCTCATTCGAATAAGGAACTATAATAACTAGGCAAAATAAGCAGTTACCAATTCCCAGTTCGAAATGCAACATTGAATTGGGAACTGGTAACTAGGCAAAATAGTTACTAGTTACTTATTCGGCCAACCTTTGGCACACATTTATTTAATCAGTTACCAGTTCGATACCCAGCTACTTATTCAGTTACCAGTTCGAAACCTAGTTACTTATTCGCCTATATATGCCATTAAATGATCTTATTTGGCCCATTACAAGGATCTAAAAGTCATTCAAACTGTTTCGAACTGGTAACTGAATAAGTAGATGGGTGGAAAACTGGTAACTGGGCAACAAAGGGTTAATTTTGGCTCTGATTGACTTTTAGGACCTTGTAAAGGGCCAAATAAGATCATTTAACGACATAGGCGAATAAGTAACTAGGTTTCGATCTGGTAACTGAATAAGTAGCTGGATGGCGAACTGGTAACTGGGCGACAAAGGGTTAATTTTGGCTCTGAATGACTTTTAGGACCTTGTAAAGGGCCAAATAAGATCATTTAACGGCATAGGCGAATAAGTAACTAGGCTTCGAACTGGTAACTGAATAAGTTCAATGTTGCATTTCGAACTGGGAACTGGTAACTGCTTTGCCTAGTTACTAGTTCCTTATTCGAATAAAGAACTGGGAACTGGGAACTGGTAACTGCGTTGCCTAGTTACTAGTTCCTTATTCGAATAAGGAACTGGGAACTGGGAACTGGGAGCTAACTCCCCTGAGCTACTGGGTTAGTAAATGGTGGATTTTACGTGTTGCTATGAGTCATACTGCTGTGTATATTAGATATAATGTTACACAGGCATCACACGAGCACACGTGTGCACACATGCACACATTCATACACCTGCAAACAGTTATGGCAGTCACCTCATGAACCCAGAGTCTACGCATTGCATCTGCATCATCCATTGTCTCAGGAACAGACAGCAAAACTCCTTGAATCACTCGAGCGAAATCTCGGAGATTGAACAGGTAGTGAGACTTGGCTGGGGTGGGTAGCAGGTTAGCCATCGACTCCTTGTACACATCAAGTGTGCCAGTGACTAACTGTGTAACGCACGTTTGAAAGTTCTTGCTGAATCCTCTGCAAATTAGAAATTTTCCTTCATTATTCAGTTATTGTGTTCTGCACCACTCCGTCTCATAAAACAAGGTACACACATATGCACCTAGATGAGTAAATTCTCGGTAAGGAATGTAGATACACGAGAATAAATAAGACCATATTTACTTCCATTTTATTATTGGAAGAAATGCAACTTAATTCAATTCTTGTATCACTGCATATGCAACTGTATACCTGGTTTCAACATGCCATGCCATGATTTTCGCAAAGATCGTTTCCATCGATTCATCATCAAACTCGTTGATAGTGATGCAGTTGAAGTGGCGCAGGAACCGTGGTGTAATCACGTTTCTACCACCACCTATTAAAAAATTACAACAATATACCATTAAAGTGATAAAAACTTATAGTCTAAGAGCCAATTCTCAAGAGGCCTAGAATATTTAAAACGTGACACACCCCTTGCATACTTGCTCTAGTACCACGAAATAATAGTACAATACCTATAGAATATTTTTAGGTATGCTATAATGAGGAAACAATGCGCCATCACTATGCCAGAAATAAATTTTTTGGAACCAAATTCTTTCTGGTCATGAAAATATAAGGGGGTATGGTACACATATTGTGTTGTTACACAGCCTTGCTAAATACCTGCCCATTACATATAGTAATTTTCCAGTAGGAGCATGAACTGCTCATGTTGAGACACTTTTAATTGCGTGGTTTGTGCAACCATGCCACTGTGGGACCAATGATGGTCCAACACCATAATATTTACAATGTTTTCTAACCAAAAGACACATTTTCTTGCCGTTTTTGCAAATTACTATCAATAGCTTTATATTTTTAAGCATTATGTCTATCATACTGGATAGAATATATGCTCTAATGTGCTATATTAGGATAACAAAAGATTAGCAAAAAAATGCACTGACGTTGGAAATGCGCATTGTGCAGTTCAATTGCATTTGTAGATTATTTAATTTGTTTCTGTCTTATTTGTTCTTATATTGTCTTTTCTTATTTACATAGTAGTAGAATAAAGTTAATAGTTAATAGTTAATAGTAGTATAAGAGGCTAGGTTGAATTTCCACCATATATACCAACATTGGTATCATGTGAAAGCTTTTATGAATGGAATAAATATATAATATCTATATATTGTCTAGCTTGAAAAAAAAAGTTGTTTCAATAGCAACATGAAATATCTCCCTACCCAATTATGTCTCACAAGAGAATGAATGATACCTGGGGGTCCCATAGCAGCAATGACTTGGACATCTACAAGGTTGATTGTAGAGCAGTCTTTACGGTCATACCAGTTCCAATGATCTAGCCACTGCCTCAACAGTTCTATTGGAGGCTGTGCTCCATACGTCTCCCGTATTGGCATGTTAAGATCATCCACAAATACGACCTTTAATGAGAGAATATTTTACCTGCTTTGAAAGTATTTGCATTAATTTGCATTATTTTCACAGCAAATACTTTACACAAATCTGCATCATTTATGTATTTGCCAGAAAACTTTTCTAGCATGCCTTACCTTACAATTTTAACCCAACCTTATTAGCAGATTTGAAGTCATACTACACAGTGGTATTTCTTATGTGATACTCACCGTTTTCTTTCCCATAGGTGGTCCAAACACACCTTTCCTCCTCTTGTCCAGCTTTGACATAATGATGTCCTGCGTTTGGTTAGCACTTGTCTGAGCAGAGAAGTTGATGCACACAGGCTTGTAGACTTCTTTGTCAAGCTTATTTAGCAAGAAGTCCTAAGAAAGACAATATGGAAAAGATATCTTGTTATTAGTCTGCTTGTATAATATTTAGTTTTTCACTTGAGAGGGATTAGCCAAGATATATACTGTATAGTAGTACAAAGAACATCATCTATAACTATATATATAAGTATACACTGCATGTATATGATGTCTGGACGCTTAGAGAAGCGTTTAACTTAAAGAAATACGACTGTTTTCCACATTACATTTAGTTAAGTTAGGGTTTACTCATGTTACACACTAACCTTAAAATTTTTGTTGTTTAATATTAATAAGAAATAACTAAAAGGTTTCAAACACTCGCATCAGCTCCTAATTAGAATACCAACAATTAACATTAAATTGCAGGATGGTTTGAAAAAATTGTGAAGCACACTAACTAGTACAGTTTTAAAATGATATTATGTAAATTAACGAGCAAAACCTTCATAGCGAGTTAATCTGATTCACTTACACTGATGTAAATAGATTTTCCAGTTCCAGTTGGGCCAACAAATAGAACTGGCATTTGATGAGTGACTAGCATCTCCATTAATGCCGAGTAGCGCACCGTGTCTACAGTCGGCACAATGATCTGATTAACCACCGCATCCTTGGGAATGGGCGGGACATCTTTCAACTGTTCTGCCCATCTCCTCCAACAGCCGTTGTCCTGAATGACAATATAATCGAAATTTGCTTTCATCCCTTGGATTCACAGGTGATATTTGACAAAACAAGTATAAAAACCAATCTCACCAGAACTGGTACGTGTAATTGCTCGTTTAGTAAATGTTTACAATATATTTATTGGAAATAAAAGCTTTGAATCTGGCACACCAGCTTGCTCAACAAATATTATTAACATACACAACTGTCTAGCCGATTTTGCAGTAATGTATTATGGGACATATTATTTTCCAGATAGGTGACACATATACATAACTGTTAATTATGAATGTAAACTAATTAATAAAAGGTCTACACTTTCACCTCTTTTACAAAATTGTAGTTGTACACTCGTCCTGCCTCTGGTATAACACTTGTGTAGGGGGTATTTGGTGCTGCAACAAGGTTAGGAAAGGACATACTCTTTCTTGTCTCTTCACTCATGCCACCCTACATGAGATGAAAATAACAAAGATTATAGCTAACCTGTAAATTATGAATTTATATAAATTGTTTATTTTACACCTCTCAATTTGTGACACTGCAGACATAATATCTATTACAAGTACTAGGTTAGATTAGGTAGATAGGATAGCCGGATTCAATTGATATTCATTAAATCAACGTCATGTACAACAGAGTATATAGTAAGTGCGTGGATATAAGCACCTTAATCAACTCTCTGAACAGACAGTCAAACTTTTCCCGGCCCCTGTCATCTATGCTACTTCCAAGAGACCAAATGCAGGAAAACAGAAAGATTCCCTGTTAAAAAAAAACAATGTTAAACCTATACAACTACTTTGCAAGTATTTAATAAAACACAAGAAAACTGTAGCTGTATCCATATAAAAGTGATATTGTTTTGAATATGTATAATTATTTTTTTGTCGTGATTTCAGAATCTGAAATTGAAGACCAGACAACCAGATCATACCTCGATCCACGATGAGACCTGCTGCTCAGTGAGCTTGCTGAACACGGCTTCATCTCTAAACTCATCCATCTGGGCATCAATGAGATTCATCAGCGAGTGAACCAGGTTAGCATCAGTTGTCGGTGCCAGCTCCTAAACATTATCAAACAACAATGCACATCCTGGTTACACACGATAATATATAGACAAAGCCCTTCTGATTGCTTGAAAATGATCTCTTTACACTACCAAGCTTATTTAATCAAGACATACAACCAAGATGACAGATAACTCATATCTATATAGCTAAAGTCAATCTTGAAATCTTGATAAGTTTGGTTGCAACAAGATGAAACTATATATGTACACATCCGTACAGATATGTTATGTCTAACCTTCCCAACTTTTCTGATGAAATGCAGAATTGGGTCAACAAATCGTTCAAACATGTTATTCAGCGTTTCTTTGTGCAGGTCATTCAATGTGGGTGGAAGCGTGTTGAGCCAACTCTTCAGCAGAGGGCGCCATCCTAGCGACGACGGTTCCATGTAGATCATACCACAGCGAGACACCTGTGAAATGGTATCGTAAAACGGTTAGACTGTTCCTGCTGCTATTTGATATGGGTGATTGTGTACATGAATGCACGCGCGCATGTGTGTATGTTCACACACGGACAGACATGAGGAAACATCAGAAATCGATTTTTTTTATGCAATCAGATTTTGTTTGAAATTGTGAAAATTGTAAATTGTAAAACTGCAGCACTATAAATGGTACCGTTGCAGGAGATGCAGCCTCTAGATCCATAGGTTCAAATATCAGGTTAGTGGTAGCAGCCAATTGGATGATCTCCCCGCTCATGAGACACAGTTTCTTGTTGTCATCCAGTACAGTGTTCATGTTTTCTATCCATATTGCATCGACTGGTCCATCAAAAATCAACCACTTGCGATCAGGTGTCTATGCAGAAAAATAAATAATTTTGGAACAAAATGAAAATTGGGAAAATTAACAAATATTATATAATCATAAACTCTTCTGTCAGCCGTCTTATTATTAATTTACATTACATACTCTTTATATATATATATATATATATATATAATAAATAATACAAGTATTTTATTCGAAGTAAATTTAATATTCTGTTAATAAAAATAAACATGCAATCCATTCACCCAATTACCTTATCATTTTCACAAAACATACAATATCTTATTCACCCATGCCTACCCTTGAAAACACGTGGCGGTGCTTTCAAGGTTCATGGACCATTAATACAGAGTAATTGATCATCATGTCACGACTTACTGTCGATGTTGCAAATGCTCTGTAGCTAACAGCAAGAATGCCATCAGACCACTCGTGTGACACAGGGTCAAACTGACCATACAGCTGTCCCATGGTGATTGATTTGGGGTTGATCACAGTTATCTGCACTTTGTTCTCATCCATCAAACCCTATCATAAAGAATGTCAAAGTATTTCTCAAATTTAAGAATGAATTGTGAAATGCGACATATGTAATGAGTAAGGGTTCGTGTTAGGGACTTCAACTATTGCATTCGAAGCTGTAAACAAATATTAAACAGGAAAAATAAGATGGTTAAAATAAACAACTTATGAACTGTAATATGAGCTAGGGTAGTTTTTTGTAGTAATAAGCATGAGGAACCATGTTTTTTTCCATCTGCTATTAGTGGAAGAATAAAGACACTTGCCAAAACCATGTTTAATATTCAAGATTTTGGCTATAATTCAAATATTTGGAAATTTCCCATAACAAATGGAGTGGGAAGAAATAAGTTATAATAGGTAGGCAATAGCTAGTGGTAACAAAGTTATTTTAGATATACAACGTAAGGTTGATGGGTGGAAAGACATGTGATGGCATGAAGACAGTGGCAAAAGCCCAAGTGACCAGCTAAAATCATGTTTATCAATATTGCTATTTATAATCGGTAGAGTAACTTTTGAAATGACGAAAAACCTTGTGATTGATGTCAGCCAGTGCAGCAGCTAGCACACGGTAAGCACTTGTCTTGCCTCCAAATGGATCGCCCACTATCATGAACCCATGACGAACAATCATCATCTCATAAATCTATAAAAAAAATACAATTTTATATAGTTATTTATTTTTATGGAATAATACATTTCAAACACAGATTAACTAACTTCATTAGTCTGTACATGGAAAAAACAAAGCAGCACAGTTGGTACTTGAGATTCCAATACCATGCACATGCATTTTTTAATGGGCCTCTTCATTTACCTTCCATTAGTATACAACAAATTTAATGAGCCAAGATGATTTTGATGAATTTAGACATGTTTATCTTGGCTGTAATGAATAACTTAAATCGTCAAATCAAATGTTTCTGATACAGTTTATATCTCGACAAAAGGAAACAGAGGCAAGGTTGATACATACCTGCTGTATCTTCTCTAGGAAAACATCTGTACACTGCAGGTTCATCTTATCACAGTTCTCTCTGATAGCCTCATTCAAGACTTCGTAGTCAGGCTGTGGAAGAACGCTACCAGGAAAGAGGTCACTTGTAATGCCCTACAAAACAGTGATAATATAACAAAACACAAAATCGAGATATCAGCATGAAAAATGCATCTGTGTATGACTGTGGTTGTGTATGAAGAGTATTTTCTACATCAAGCTGAGTCAAGCTGAATCTAAACTCAAAAAGGTTCAATTACTCATCTTGTTGGCTCTCCAAGCTATATCACATGTGGCGACATTTTACTGCACATAAAAAGAAAGACATACTCTTATTGACCTGACAGAGCATTCATGAGTATATAATTTCTCATACAACGCACAAATAAATCCAGCGTCCAGCAAGCGTTTACTTACAGCAAACAATGGTAGGTCATGCTGCAAGAACTTTGGAAGGTTCACATCTTTGATAGAGCGCAGAATTAGTATATCTTCATTCTCATCAGGATATTTCAGCTACAAACACAGGGGAGAAAATTATACAATATGACATTATAATTATAACACCCATTTATAATAGGGGACATAAGTGCATGTGAAATTTATATAACCAAAACATAGTAATGTTGTTGCGATATACTGCTTCTCTTGCCTAATATGACTTTTATCTGCAAAAATTCAATTTAAGTGCATCATAATATGAAAACATTCCTCACCACTTTCCATGACATTATATTTGATAATAGAGAAAAATGCAACCAACAAAGCACCTAATAGGGGGCCTATCTAGACAAAACGTCTGTTAAAATGAGCTTGCTGTTAAGTGTAAATTAAGCGGGTTTTTACCTTTAGGTTTCCGGCAGCAGTGAGAACAGATTTGACAGCTCGCATACCATAGTCATAATGACTCTGTGAGGATAGTTGCTCTGAACACAGCCTGCAGACACATTATGAAGTAAAAACATTGTGATTAAGAACCGTTAACAACACATGCATCCATGCAACCGTGAATAGAATAATTAACAATGCAGAGTATGTATAGTTTCACTAATTGTAATCCCTACTTCATGCAATACTATATGTGGATTTGGCAAATTCAATGGAATCATATAGAATTATACCCAAGTATACCCTAATCAACACAATATAGTCCTAACTTGCATTATTGACTTGATATTATATAAATTTTAATCCCCTCGAGATTGGTGCAGATTGGAAGCATGATAAAATACTGGCACATTAAGTGTGTGATAAGGAGGGAAGAAGAAATAATTCTGAGGTAAAGGAAAAGGAACAACTGAACTGTAATCTTGTAAACGAAAGATATTTTGTACCTGTACGTAGCCACAATCTTGACTGAGAGTGGTCTAGCACTGACAAATCCACAACTGTAGAGCACAATCTCAGAGATTAGTGCATAGTCTGGAACCATCATGGCAACAGATCTGAAAAGTGCCTATTAGAAATAGTACACTTTAGTTAGTCTCTTTTTGAAGGTGATATTCACTACATCGACACTACGTCGGACATTTAGTAAAATACACAGAATAAATACAAAAATGACATTTCTGTGATGTATCGCCAAGCGGCACAGATAAATGGCCGTAAATACTGGCAGAGGCAGGCCACGAATATGCACACACACGCACGCATGCACATATACGTAGCTATTACAAACATGGACGCACACACACACGCACGCACGCACGCACACACACAGATGTTTTAGACACCAATAACAGGAATAAACAAACCTAAAACAACTGACCCAAAACATAAATGCTGCAAACATGCAAACGACATAAGATATAGAACGAACAATTAAGCATGTTAACAAACAGCCTGATCAATGTGTTTTTACTTTATCTGGTTTCCAGTGTAGATGACTACAATGACAATTTAGGTACACATGGCGTATAGACGAACCTTCAGGTTATCAGGTAATTCTGAGCGTCCCGCATAACCAGGGTTCATGGTGATGAACACTGCACACATCGGGTTCAGTTTCAGCAACGTTCCCTCAAACATCAGAGTTTCAGCTCCAGCAAGGATCGCTGGAGTAGGAATGTAGGGCACCACAAATGTAATTAATCAACTCTACTTTTCTATAGAACATAAGCGAGAATGAGAATTTATTTTACATTCAAATCTTAAATAAAACATGTAAAACGTAAACTGAAGAGTCAGCATTGCAAAATCCAAATAATGGAGGTTGCAAAGAATCATAAAAGAAATTTTTGTATGAAGAGAAATTTTTTGGGTAAATATATTATTAGAAGTAGATAATAGGGAAGGAGTGTGACTTCAATAAACAAGGGAAATTCGTCATTTACTAGCCTTAGAATACCTATGATTTACTACGCGTAACTCAACCAACTTGAGCTCAAATCATACACAGTACATTCGGCTAGCATCGTGCGAAATCGTTTCCTCGTATACACCCGCAATCCGGAGATACAGACTAAAACGTACGACACGATTCTCCATTCTGTTGCCAGCAAACCGAATGTATAACCCGCCTAACTTGAAACAAGCGGCAGCTACTAACAGCTCTTGCGCACTCTTGTGCCCTCGGCGATGCAGTGCGGCTCGCTGGGAGATTGGACATCGACGCAACACTCGGCGAGCTAATCTTTGACCTATTTACAGCTGGTATGCCCCCCACACTCGCATGCCCACAGCAATCAGCAGCAGCTCCAGCTCCAATCTCCCAGCGAGCCACACCGCATCGCCGAGGGCACAAGAGTGCGCAAGTCGTTAGTAGCTGCCTTTTGTTTCAAGTTAGGCGGGTTATACATTCGGCTTGCTGGCAACAGAATGGAGAATCGTGTCGTACATTTTAGTCTGTATCTCCGGATTGCGGGTGTATACGAGGAAACGATTTCGCACGATGCTAGGCGAATGTACTGTGTACGATTTGAGTTACGCTTGCTCAAGTTGGTTGAGTTACGCGTAGTAAATCGTAGGTATTCTAAGGCTAGTAAATGACGAATTTCCCTTGTTTATTCAAGTCACACCTCCTTCCCTATTATCTACTTCTGATATTATGTAGATACACGTGTGAGCCTCAACGCATATTTCAATGTGGTAGACATTACCTCGTTGAATGGTTAGAATCTGCTGTGCCACCACAGACAATACTTCTAGGTCTATGCGATTGAACTCGTCAAAACATGACCAAGCTCCGCATGATGCCAAGCCCTGTTAAATTTAAAACACATATTTCTATTGCTAATGTAATGGGATTAGGTGCATATGATACTGCCACAATATAATCTTGTAATTTTCAGTTTTTTGCATAGTATATGACCATTTACATCACATACTCTTATGTTTATATTTTATATAAAATAAGCATTACCTAGTTAACGGCATTGAATTACATGAAACATATTACAATACCATTTAAACACTCGTGAAAATGCTGCACACACCTTGAAGAATTTCCCAAGTGCGATGTAGTCCAACCCATCTGAGCAGTTAAAGACAACACATTGTTTCGCAACAGCTTTGGCCAAATCCTTCGTTGTCTCAGTTTTTCCAGTTCCAGCTGGGCCCTCAGGAGCGCCGCCCAAATGCAAGTGCAGTGCCCCAAACAAAGTTCTGAAAACAGATTATGTGGTAATAACGTTAATGAATAGTAATTCTTCGAAATGGTTTTTATTCACTTCTGATAACATCCACAGCACTTAGTGAAATGAGTGCTGTACGTCTTTGATTACGTGCTGGGCATTTTAAATCCTATACTATACATTATGTAAATATATGAATTTAGATCTACAGTTATCCTATATTGTATATTATTCTACCAAAGTGTGAATTGTATTAGATGGTGATGGATACATCAGGAAATGTGCACATGAATACGTGCATGATTGTACACAACAACAAACTCGTGCAATGATTAGTGATTGTGAGAGTAATTACACATATATCCTACATCGATCCCGAAACCTTGAAAAATATAACTTAAAAAAGTGGTCAATGTGCCAAAAATGAGATTGCAATTTAGTGTATATAAGGAATTGAATCACGAATCATGCTGCTGCTTCAGGATGGCAAAAACGAAGGTTTTTGGCCTTTTTTAGTTGTGTTTCTGTGCAATAACCAGTGCGAACATATCAGTGACACACAACTTACACATCGGTAGTCATTGTGTGACCTAAAAACCGTAAAAAGCCATTACAAAATTACATACATTTGGATAATATGACTTTACATACTAAACCAAGAATGTTGCAAAATGGCACACTATCTACATTTTTAAAATAGTTTATTCATAAATATTCTGCAAACTCTTAGCACTTTCTCTAACGACCATTGTTCTGTTGCCAGTACTGATGTCACTACTGTTGCCTCTCTTGCTGCATTTTCTTGTGTTGCAGCTGTTGCTACTGCTACTATTAAAACAAAACATTAAACTTTCTGAAATGACATTCACTGCAAGTTGAAGTATCTAGGTAGTCATCAGAATTGAAAATGTACTTCCGAAATCACATGTTGGTACAGACATTATCTGCTGTGAATTGTAGCATAGAGATAGTGAGAAGTCAATATTTGTCAACTAAAATAATATAGGATCTTATTGGATATGTAACATATCTAACATACAGTTCCACTTGACCCACTGAACCCTAGATTCTAAATTGGCAACATTTCTAAATAGCCTGATTGCCACTAAATGCTAAATACCAATATTTTAGGTAAAGCCATTTGGGTTTAGGTAAGCATTGTTGATGAATGGATGCATGAACGGATCCCTAGTTTCATACAAACAAATTGTATTAGACTTCATCTGCTGAGCTGATAGTTGTGAAGAAAGTAAGAGTCATACCTGTAACACCTATCCGTGAGTGGAGTGATTACCAGCCGGCCAGAATTACCCAGGTATTCATAGCCATACGGCAACTGTGAATTGATCATCTTGGTCATAATATTTCCATCCTACAAAAGCAATGACAAAAGATGCAAAATTGCTCTTACTGCCAATTGTTAATAACACGGTAGTTTTTTTTTTTACATTTCGTCACATATGCGTCTTGTGCGTACAGTGTGTACATGCCTATACGAGTGTGCGTGTGTATGTTCGTGTGTGTGTGCATGTGCGTACATGTGTACGTGCGTGTATGCGTGCGTGTCTTTTGTTTTGTCTTATGAATAATAAATTTATTGCTTGTAATCAAGATATTCCATATTTCCAGATGAAAATCTCAATCTCTTGCGTACTATGGCACACACAAATTAATAAACATTGATCAATATCTGCTTGAAACTAAGTCATACCTCCCAGTAGTATCTCAGTTGGCTTAACCACTCAAAGTCATTCTCGTCAGAGACACCGTTCTTGACCATCGATGACAATACATCACGAGCATGCACATCCAAGACTACCAGTGCCCCCAGTGTAGTTCTGTTCTGCTTAGACAGCTTGCCTCGCACCATCATCACAATGGTATGAATCTGCTCATTGTTCTGCTGCAGATAATCATCTAGTGCCTGCAATGTCACAACGGCATCACTCACTAGGGCTCATTGAGTCTATGTCCCCCAGGGTACTGCCGGAATATACCCTGGGTATGGTCAGTTATACCGGAACGTACCCTGGTAACTATTTGATATGGTTAGGGTTAGGGTTAGGGTTAGGGAGTAAGCGTAGGCGACTCCCTAGACTCATTAGTGGAGTAGGCGAGGTACGGTCCGGCATATTAGATAGTACCAGGGTACGTTCCGGCAGTACCCTGGGAGACATAGACCCTCTCAGCCTCACTAGCTGTTATAAACATTTTACTGTGGTAGAGCATTTGGTACTGGACACTTTCTTCGTAGGTTTCTAAGCTAGTGACACATTTGAAATGGATACTATAGCCTATTCGTGTCGAAGACTAGCAATTATACATGCTGTTTCACTTGGGTAATTTGCCAAAGACTCCCAAGTATTTATTTACTCTTGCCAATATTTAGGTTTTATCATATAATATATAGGTTGCGTTTGGTATGATATTGATGATTATTGACTAAATTAATAATAGGCAATCATCTTTAACTGCTATAAGCCCACCTTCTGTCCATCCCGAATGGCCTTGTGCACATCGCTTGTCCAGTACTTCTGTGACACACACAACACTGCCTGACCTGGCCACTGCACTACCCACTCACTCCTTGGCACTTTGGCATATGCTTCTAGAGCTTCGCCTGTCACCTGTAGGAGATGAAACGATATAGCAATGTAAGCATTTGTTTAAAAATACGTGAAAACGTAATATAAGTGATAAGATAAAAATACTAACAATATAAGTTATATAAAAAAAACATGCTAAACAGTTTCTATCCGATGCTAACTTTTTAGTTTTTTCCCTGGTAAATTTTGGTATCCTTTCCATTTAATTAGAGTGCCGTTGTCAATTGAAAAGTAGACAAATGCTGATCTAAAATTTCACGTGAAAACAATCTATAGATGACTGGGAATTCTAGGTCTATTGTTGGTAACTTTATTGATGGTTATGTGAGTAAACTGTAAATGTAATTATAAACTGGCATGCCTATAGAAGAACTAACCTTGTGGATGCTCTGTAACATATCGACTTCAAGTTCTAGCAGCCACTTCTCAACCTGACCCCGGGCCTTTGATGTTGAGATGACATCTTTCAGCTCAACTATCTCGTCTTCACTGCTTTTTATATGTGTGATGTCCAACAGCTCTGTGAACTCGAGGTTAGCAATTCCCTCAAAGCACTTCTTCAAATGGGGCTGTACTCTGAAACACAATTTATTGCACATGTCAATTACATTAAGGAAATCAACATGCTATCTAACTTTTTTTTTCAAATGGATGTCATGGATATCAAAACTATACCTGGTAGGATCTTTTGTCTCAGACAAGATTTCCAGCAGTTCGTCGTTAGACAAAAAGAAGAATCTGGGGAAGTATTGTCTCTTCTTCTCCAGGTATTCATTCAACCCCTACATACAAATAGGAAAAAAGAGAATGCAATGGAATGTAATGACAATAACACTAACATTAAAGTAAATATAGACGGGCCTTTGATTAAACTTCACATAAGGTTAGGATACTAGTAATTATGGCATGATTGGATTTAATCAATTATTATTTTAAGTTTGACAACTCCTATGAAAAACCTATAGTGCACAATATTGACACACCAATAACTGAGAAAGCTAACCTGCTTAATAACGTCATGCATAAACTTCAAACAAAACAGTTGCACGCAGCACTGTTACATCACTGTGTAATTATTTATACCAAAAGCAAATATACAGACCTGGCTGGGCAGTACTACCACAATAGCAGTTATGCACAATACCATACCTACTCCAGCAAGTAATATGAAAAATCTGAAGAACTTGGATAATACAGTTAAGTTCGAAAACACAAAATATATTGGTCTTCCAGTCTCTGACTCCATGGAAAAAAATTAATTGGAATTGGAATAAACTGAAATGCCAACCCATATGAGAAATTCGCACCTTGAGAATCAGTTCCAGCAATTCGTTTGACTTCTGCATTTTTTCCAGTATCGAGTCGATCTTTACAACAGCGAGAACCCTTTTGTCCAAATGCGCAGCCTTCATGATGTCTCGCCAATTCTTATCCACTGTGCTAAACCGTCTATATAGAACCAGAATAAGGCATAGAATTAGCAGTTATACATCGCAACATAAAATAAACACTTTCAATTAGTTACATCACTGGCTGCAATTCATTTCAATATTTTCCTGATAAATCCGCAGTTAAAAGTAAATAAGCTAACCACATATCAGGAGTGTAAAAAACAACTTTATTTTTATTCACATCTGGGCAGATATCATTCCTTAGTTTACAGCTACTCTTCCTGACAATCTGCAATAATAACTGCAATAGTACCTATAACTAGGTACAATGTAACCGATGTACTCTCGCCTTTTTTCTTTGCTTACCTTCCTTCCTCTGGCATCTGAGCCATAATATCAGGTGAGCTGAAAATCGGTTCTAGATAGAGCCAAGTTGCCTGTACTTTTAGCCACTCATCTAGAATTTCCTGTAGTAGCAGCAATGTTGCTTCCCACTCCCTGTAAAAGTTAAAGTCAAACTGTATGCTAAATGTTGCCATCAACAAAAGAAATAAGCATTGAAAATCAGGCCCAACATGGAAGTACAAACGCATGAAGAGATTGACGCCATATCCATCTAGCAGCATTTGACCGAGTTAAGATAAGCTAAAAATTAGGATTATTTAGATCACACACAAACGCCATACTGACATATAAATATTTTAATTGGATCATTTTCATCTAATTTCTATATATTCATTGTGCTTACAGTGCTCTTAAGCATGCGTGCAAGAACAACGTTCATTGATACCTGTATGTACCTTCTCACAGGCAGTGTGAATTATCCCAGGGGTAAAACACAACTTGTGTTTTCATTAAAAGCTGGCTACTGGCACAAATGATCATTTATTTGAGCACTGCACATTCGCTAACTTGACGCCCTACGTACAATTACGGCCTACATGCAAAGTTCAAGTAATTGTAGCCATCTACCTATTTTTTTCTCCACCTACTTTTTGGCTTAAGAAAAACATTGAAAACCCCAGATTATTTATTATTTTACATGTATTATTTTAACTGTTTTAAGTGACAAACTGCCTAAAAAAATTTCATCTCACATATTTACATTAAAATTAACATCCACAGTATATAAATGTATTCAGTTATAACATAGTTTCCATCACTGGTACTATACTAGATGTATACAGAGTACTAAGTATGACCTTCTAAGGCAATGTACCAATATGCGATTATCTTGGCTTATAACCAATTAAAGGATATCAAAATTGCATTTTACTTGATTTCAGCTTCAAATGGCTTGATGAATGGTGAACCTCTCATTGTTTGTGTCTTGACTATCTGGTCATCTAGTAGCATCTGAATGTCATCCACTGATGAGAGAATATAGGTGCCTGTTTCCCTGTAGGCTACCACTCCAAACTCCACCTAAAATACAAGTTCATATCTAAACCGCTCTGAAGCAATAAATAACTATCATGCACACAAGCCTATTTTTATACATTGTGATTTTTAACCAGGTGAAAACGATGTCTTGACTTAGCAATGTCTATGCAATTGGACAATATCAGATATGTTAAAACTTACTACTAATGGTATACTTGTAATTAGAAATTATGCAAGTGTAAACCGTTCCATGACAACACACATATTTTGAGGTCTAACTAAGAGACTTTCCCTTCACAAATAGCAGCAAACAAGAGCAACCAAGTATATAGCCTTAACCGATGGTGTGGGCACACGATTTCATCTAAAGTTATCAAGCAATATACAAGCAAACAGTACAATACAAACAAGTTTTAAAACAAGTAATATGCAGACATACATCATCCCACTCAATCTTCATTTTCTCCATTGCTTTCTCCAAAGAGTACTCTTTGCTGGCTGCTTCACTAACAGCTTCAAACTTGGTAATGTATGCCTCTAGGTTCATATCTACAAGCTTTGACAAGCATGTGTCTTCATCAGGCTTGAAGGGTATTCCGATGACCTCTGACACTAGATCCCAGTGGCGATCCCTCATACCAGGGTTGAAGAGTGCAGAAATGAGAGGTAGGTGCTGCTTGAAATCATCCATCTTACGGCGGACCTATAAATGTATAATAAAAGCAAGTATCAGTAAGAAAGGTATACTTTCGTATCAATCACGTCAATGGAGATGCATCCTGCTACGAGAGAAAGCACGGGACAATCGATAAAGCTATTGCAACATGAACATAATTAAAAAGGACGAGAATAAATTTATAATATAAATAATTCATTAGTTATAAATAATACTAATGACCCCTCCAAATATGCATTTTTTTTCGTTGTCTAGTATTCATTGCTGCCTAATGATTGAGGTAAGTTGTAAAATTATGCTTTAAAGGGAATATAAGTTAAATTATGACAAAGGTTGAACATTTTCTTGTCAGACCTATAAATAAACAAAACAACAACAATATATATATATATATATAATTATAACATGCACTGATTGTTACAGTCGCGTGGGCATATGCTTATTGTTGTATATGTAGGAGTGGGCACTGCTGGTATGAGGGAGCGACAGCAAAACTTTCCCCGAATCAAGGAAAAAGCTGCAATCGGGAATGACACAGGAGTGTGCCGGCAGGCAAAAAGAAACGTTGCTGTGAATTTCATTACGATTTTCCATGTATATAGTCAGAAGCACGTGGTGATCTATTTATTTTTGGATTGACACTATTCTGACAATGGCGGGTAAATACAGGAACATTTCCACAACGACGTTGTTCAATTTGACAACGGCGGTGCGCCGCAGTGCCTGCTATGTAGAAGAAACCCTGGTTCAGTGACAAGCACAACACAGTCATTGATAGGTTTACTGCCACAACATGCATGTATAAAACAACCTTTTGTGAAATCTTCTTAGCAGCAGGAATGTCTGTGAATCCCTTCTCTAGTTTGTACATGGTTCTCCAGTAATTGCCAACCTCTTGTTCCACCATATCTGGCACTACTGCATCCATTGGTCCATCCATCCACTCTCTGTTCAAACGTCCATATAAAAAGTTTTAACATTATGTTTGATCAACTACAGAAAATACTTTCTCAAAAATGGCTCACAGTAAATGTTACTATTGCTACCTTAATTCTAGATACGTTGGATGGGAGATGATGCAACAAAAAGAAGGATATATGTCACTTTTCCAAAACAACTGCTTACTATCTTAGCTCAAGAAATCCAGGGTAATTACAGAAATATGAGCTTAAAACAAACAGGATGCATTATAAACATATGTCCCATAGGCTAGTATCTTTTCAACACTCTTTGATTGCATGACACACTTTTTTATAAAATTATAAAACAATGAATTCCTAAATATGTTAAACTGTGCAAGAATCATTTAGTAAGAGTAATTATTTACACAAACCACACTAAGCTAATGGAAACTAATTTGTGTTAATAATTGCTGTCACCTGTATTTGGTTCCAAATTCTACAGCAGTGTCATACAATTTCATATATGGCTGTAGCATTTGCACTAGTTCTTGTCTTGCAGGGTAGGTTGTCAAATCCCAACCAAATGCTTCCTCTTCAGTATTAAAAGCCTCGATCTAAAAGAAAGATATCAGTCCTGAACAAATAATGTATGCTGCTGTAAAAAAGTAACACTACACAGATGTGGCATCACTAATTCATACTAATAAATACTTCTTAGATATCAGAACATGTCGAGTTAATGGTAACAAAATAGGTATATTTATATGTATTATGGATGGCTGGATAGATGGATAGATAAATAGATGAATGGATAGATAGATGGATTAATGGAACAAATCCAATCCGATGGATGAACGAGATGTAACTAAGGGAAAGAGAGAGAGAGTGAGAGAGACAGAGAGAGATGGGGGGCAAGAAACGTGATCCATGGAAATAGGAAGATTGGTAACATTAAGAAAGAAGACAGATACACATAAGAGTTTTGGGTATAGTAGCACACATTTCCACCACGGTGATTGCTACCTTCTCAGCTGCAGTCTTTAGCTTAGCATCAAGACTCTGTGCTTTCTTACAGTACTTGTGAATCTCACTCATGTCGCCATATGTTTGGAACTCCTGTAACTGCTTGCGGTAGCCATCTAGCTCCTCGATGAACCGTTCTCTACGAAGCTGGCCACATACAGTATAGCGTAAATATAAAACAGCTGAACATTGTTACACAAGTGCAAAGGAATGTTACCCTTGGAAGAGAAACTGTAAACACGAGTATCCTAAGTATCACCGACTTCAATGAGTATACTACCTCGAAAAAAATCCAAGCGAAAATGGCTTTTAGCCGACAGTAATTTTGGATAATGCATCGTCTATATTTACTTACAAAGATACTGTTTTGTTTTGGGGAATCACAAATGGGTTACAATAACTATTAACAATAATAATTATTAAATTTTTGAGGTAGCAAAGCCCACGTTAGAACACTTTTGTTATGAAATATATAAGATATAATGCCACTTTCTACCTTGAGGTTCTCTTCATAGTGAGCTTTCTTATCTTCACAAATCTTCCGATTTTCCTCAAAGATCTCTTCTAGTCGACCATTCCACAGGAACGTGCTGTTGTTTAGTCGAATTTCAGATGGTGTGAATGTACTCAAATCAGAGAGAAATAGCATCCTCGCCTTTGCCTCTAGCAACTCCTTCTCGAGCTCAAAGATGGTCTCGGTCTCTACTTTTCGTGTAAATTCCTGTAGGTTTAAACATAGTAGGAAGTATTGGACAATATTACAATCATACGTACAAGCAAAAATATATCACCTATAAAAATGCATAATCCAGAATCAGAAGGTTGGTTCAAATTCCAAAAGCACATATCAACATGATCATCCACAGTCAATGTGTCTATTTGTAAATCTTAAATACACTTAATACAATTCATAAGAAACTACTACAAACCTTCTGTTCAATTAATTCAGCAGTGTTAGCTGGTGTGGTGAGAGCTTTATTTGCAATTGCCTCATACTGGTCGCACAACCTGCATTTGAAAATAAATTTGTTACACAAAGAAATAGTTACACATAAACCTGAAGTTGCATAATTACTCATTAAAATAGGTCTCTGGCCCAGCTCTGGGAACCTTTGTGAAAATCTTTGCATAATAAAATATTTGGTTCCAAGTCAGTCTGTAAACTTACTTGGGATGCCACTAAAGCCTATAAGCAATCACACTGTATACTGTTATATAATTAAATGAAAATGAAAATGGGAAACTCACCGCTGATTAGCTGCTTGGTGATCACGTGACATCTTGACAAGAAGAGTGTTTGCAAGGGCTTCTGCCCTGCATGCTAGAGCATGGATCAGCTCGTCACAGTGTACTTCAAACATTCCATATTGTACAACCTAAAACCCAGCAAGTCACGTAAAAAAAGTTAGTTACCTTTAAACTAGCACACCATTTTTAGAAATTTTATATATTCCTGATAATAGAATGAAGTTTATACTTATTAATAACAACATACCGGGAAGCATGTGTACATTATCTCTTCCTGTAAGCTCTTGAATTGTGACACGAGCTTGCTGAACTCTTCGAAGGTGTGGTTCTCAGATATGAACTTCTGAACCTCCATCTCTGCCTGGAAAAATAGTGGCATAAACGGTGAAGGAGTATAATCAATACTATTTGCCAAGCGTGGACTTATTTAGGAGGTTAGCAAACACATTCTGGAATGCATGTGCATGCACCAGTTACAGGGCTAGTTTTTTTCTAGGAAATGTGGGAAAAGATCGCGAAACGGACTCGGGATGTCGAATTTGGGAGTCAAGGGGCATAGGTCAAAATGTGTCAATGGAGGGGCAATATTTACCCCTTAACTTAAGGTATAAGAGAAAATACGGAATTGCGGCACAAATTTCAACGGCTTGACCTACGGTCTTAATATTCGATGTATAGTGTGATGTGGAGGAAACCCATCACCAGCATGAAATTGAAGGTCACAGGTCAAAGGGCAGTGGGAGAAAGGGCAGATATCAGACATTTTCTGAGGACACGGTCTAACGAACCGAGTGCAAAACTTTTTTGTTTCAGCACTGACCTACCGTTTTTATCACATTATTGAAAGAACCATGAAATCTACTTTCCGCTGACGTGCGAAGAGTAATTAGTGTCTGATAACCTTTTGACCCTCAAGATAAATTTACATACCCTATATGATACCCTATTATAAATTTTAGATCTGTATTAATAGTATCCTAGATATATGCTCTGAGCGTGCACGCGGTGGCAGGAGGGCGCACTTGATTCGGTTACCAGTGAGTTTATCAGAAGAATACCTGGCTACAGTACACGTCAGGTGAGCGCTGTCGCTCTGCGGCACTTGTTTAAGTAAATCATCAGTTCAGAATTAACATAGAGTTACTAGTTTTGGATGGATAGGCAATAGAACATCTGAACAGTATGTACAATTATAACACCTGCAAGCTAACCATTGTTCACTAATAAGTAGCAACCTTGTTTGTGATGATGCCTAGGAGTATCGTATTGACAAGCGGTTGGTCTTGTTTTAGAGAGCAAAGAATTCTGCTTAATGCAATACCATAAAATTATTCTAGACTCGCAGTCAAAGTAGAATAATCATGTCGTGAAATAGCACTATTTTTCCCGTTTTTCCGTTGTACACCCTAGGTATTATTAGCTCTTGATACATATATATATGTACCTCGGGTACATATCTGTAGTACCTGATACGACAACGACCCCTTCAGCACTACGGCCATATTACTTATTACTATTAGTATTAGTAGTAAGTACTATTAGTAATTACTTTAACTATATTTATATGTTTTCATATATATCGTACACGCGTAGCTGCAAACGCGGCTGCATATTATAATGCTTACACATTCACTTTACATAATAATAATTATTTAAAGTTAGCGTTAAGGTTAGTTTAAGGTTATTTTCATCATCTGGAGCCAAAGGCAAAAGTTAACATAAGCAGCGTTCGCAGCCTCACCAACCGCAGAACAGAAACCAAGCTCAACAGGATAAAAACTGAACATACTATAAACTGAAAGCTAGACCATGCACATGTTCAAGATCGGGGCAAGTGATAGTCCCCTCTGCGACTGTGGCCTTGCCAATGAGACCGTGGACCACAAGATCTTACATTGCTCACGACTCAGGGTTAGCAGGGAGAAGATGACCGAAACGATCGATCTGGAGTATATGTGAAGACCAACACCGTGACCATGCAACCAAAGCCATCGGACAATTGACATTGGCATTGCCACCCTTACTGGGCAAAACAGGAATCTAACACCAGAGATGGATGCCACCATCAAACAGGCCCTCCCCAGATTCCTGTCCGAGTCCCTTCCAGTAATCTAGCCACAGACACTGAGTGACTCCGTTGTTAACCAAAAAAACACAATTATTATGAGTAATAGAGTATGACTCTATGAGGAAACGGTGCAAATCCACTTTAGGCACCTTAGGTATCACGAAGTGATGCACATATATTTCTGTGTATCATCAACTGATGCACAGACTTTCCGTATATCAAGGAATGATGCAAAAACCCTAACCCTAACCCTAAGCCCAACCCTAACCCTAACCCTAACACACTTCGTGATACCTAAGGAGTAAGGTTATACTTTATGTATAGGCAATAGAACATCTGAACAGTATGTACAATTATAACACCTGCAAGCTAACCATTGTTCACTAATAAGTAGCAACCTTGTTTGTGATGATGAAGTTGTACTTTTCATAGAGTGCAGCATGTTGCAGAGGTCCAGCCATTCCCTTCTCAATTGCATCTCTCATGCATGTTTTAGCATTCATGACAATTTCGGGTAAAATCACTGGCTTGAGGTTTCCTGTCTGAGACACAGCCTGTTAGTAAAAATTATAACTTCATGAATAACTTCAATATCTTTTAGTATTAGCTGCAACACCGAATTTTAATACTAAAATTATTACTAGAAGACTGTAAAAAATTGATTCATCTCAGATCTTTCATATAAACTATAAATACGTAAATAAATAAGTTGCACATTATAAACAATATTAAATAGAAAGTTTTTGTTCAATGCCAATTTAGGTTCACAATTGCACCTTGCAACTTGTTTAAAGTTTGAAATTGAACCAGAAAAGTTATTTACACATGTATAAATATTTAACAGCATTCTTATTAAAATTTACATCATTAATGGTAGTAATTCAATTGTATTTAAGAGACAATAATAACTTACAGACTCTGGCAGCAATTTTGACTCCACTCTAGGAACAATTTCCACAGCTGTCAACATCATCTCATAAACGTTCATCAAAACTGCTTCGAAGTTTTCAAACTCAGGCTCAAATTTCACCCCACTGGTTTCTAATATCAGACGAATGATGAAGCTGATATGGTTCGTCTCTTTGCTGTGACACTATATCAAAGTAACATATCAAGTATTACAACACTGGAATAACCATCAGTCAGTATTCTCAATGCGTCTATAATTTCACCATTATATCAGGAGTAACATCATATATGATGTAACTCTCAATTATATATGTATAGAGCAAATATATGAAATGCCTTAACAGAATGATTTTCCATTTTATTTCATACGAAAATGAATTTGACTACTGACTAAAACTATATTTCTAGAAAAACCTCAGGATTCTAAATCACCTAATTTCTGACATCTAATTGTAACCCCAAAAAGTTTCAAGTTTCACTACTATTTTCTTGATATAGTTCCTTAAAGAAAATCATTATGTATTGGATTATATCCATTACAGACATTGGATTAGGCATTGGGAAAATCAGCAAAACTGTAGTATCATAGTCTGCCTGCTATCTGGGTACACTCTAAATGGTGACTGAACACAACCATCATTCAAATGAAATATATTTTGTTCCTATCACGACGAAACGTTATAAATACTAACATCAACTATCATTGATGTGAAGTCATTGATAGACTCCAGAACCAAACTCTGCAGGTTGGATGTCATCAGAGTGGCTGCACAGTTGAAGAACGACTCCAGTTTGAGCCTTCGGAGATGTGAGGGAACCTGCTTCCTCTTGTTGCCTTTATAGAATATGTTCTGCACTTCAGGAAACCAACTATAGTGGCAATGAAAAGGTGAAATTAGTATCATTATGGGAATAATATTGTATATTTCCTGCCTGCAAATTTTTGGCACAAAAGATTTACAATTGAAGTATCAATAAGGCTCAAGAGACAAGATAACGTTTATCAGTAAGTTATTGACAGTGCCAAGGACTGGCAGTGAAGCCTCGGTTCAGAATATCTGTTATATATCATGGTAACGCTAGGTTTCAACACAAGCAATAACTCCGCTATAAGTAACAACCATAAGTATAAATGCTAGTTAGAATGTAGAACAAAATACTTATTGCTTGTATATCTTTTATGACATTTGTCTAAAAAAAATCTAGTTGACCTAAAACGTTAAATAACATACACACACAACTTACTTCTTCATTAGCCCCTCCTTTCCAAGTTCCAACTGCCTGGCTGCAGTGTGCTGGAATGTGGGAAGCTCCACGGCTGAACTCACAAGTTGCATTTCATCTTTGTTTACTAGTCTCAGATATCTAGGATATGATAAGTACAAAAATTCACATATCATGCTAAATCAAAATAAACTCACCATAAATGCATTATTGTAAAAATTGTAGGAATTATATTTTTTTTACCAAACTTGCACAATCTATCACATGTCAGCATATGATACTTTTCTAATGCTAAGGGTACCTATATTTGTCATGCCACAATGCCAGTACAGCAGCCATGCACGGGTTTATCACATTAAGCTTCTCCTTCATGGCATTTCTTGCATACAGAAATTCTCGGAACCATGGCTTTGGTACCTTTATAGGTAAATATATATGAATATATATATATATAGACCTGATACATCATGTGTATGACAATAACACATATACTATAACCACACCACCAACGTGCAATTACCTCTTTAAATGTATAGCATTTCACTTTGATGATTGATAGATTTCATAACACGTGATACACTAGGCAAATTAAGGATACTACTGATTCCTTGCAATTTATAACCTCATGATCAAGTACTATTTCATCATTCACCTGCTTTAACTCCTGTCTGTGTTCTAGGCTCTCGTCCACAGATTCTTCCTCATCTTTCTGTCTAGGATCTTTCAACACGAAGTCAACTGTAATAGTAAGTAAATATGGCATGCAGTTCGACCTTTACTTACAAATTACATGGAACCTTTGAACTTCAAAACAAAATAACACAAAACCATGATTTGTTAAAATCTACAAAAACTGTGACACAAGGTCAATTGAGCATTTAAAATTTAACAAAATTCAACATCAGGGCTATATTTCATGTGCATATGCTCACTTTACAACACATTTAGGGCTTAACCATCGTTCAAAATGGTACATTTGTATATTATCTTCATTATTTATCATTTAGGTTGGTACTCCACATCATCGATTAATGTAGCATGGCCAACTCATCCTGATTCTGTTAAAAACCTATATAATATATAGAATATAAAATAACTAATACTATGCCTACTTGTTTCTGTTTTCTCTTATACATCACAAAACTATTTTTAACACTCATGGCTATACCAATAGCTTTCTTGACACTCAGCAGATAGTCCTCTCTAATCTCATCAGACAGTTTATAGATGTTTCCTTCTTGTCCAATCTATCACAAAGAAATGTAGTCAAGTACAAATAACACATGTTCCAATCCATGTAATTGTAGGACGAATAATACCCTTGGTTACAACTTACCTGGTATATGAAAAAATAGTTAGACATTAATACATTAATTAGAGAATAACATGAATTATGATGTATCAATATTATCAGCAGCGCATAATATCTGAAGTAAATAATCTCAAATCTCTCGAGATTTACCCCTAATATTACAGATGACAGAGGATATCTATCTTCATATCATGCATGCATCGATATATTATGCATCCCTGATACTATTACCAAATGAACTAGTTAGTGCAAATGCAGATTATTAGAGTGGGTACAACTAGTAATGACTTTACCATCAAAAATACTATAAAATGTCACCCCTGGGCTATGGAAACATTTAATGAAATGACATATACCCTGTCGGGGTCAATAAGTTACATTATTTCATCTATGATTCTTACTATATTGGTATATAACTGCCGCTTCATCATGTTGCACTAGCTTAAGATGAAATATAGGACTTACTTTGAGTGGAGGTGACACAAGTTTCATTATATGGGTGACCCATGAGTCTTCCATTGGAGCAACATGCTCCGTGTCAATGCCATTGTGTATATAGTAGTAGTACCTCTGTATACACACAAAGACAAATCAATATACCCCACAAACAAATATATGGCAGAAACTAACTATGAACATGAGCTGGACAGCTGGATAACACGCCAAAGTCTAGACTTGCGCTCTTCATTAAATTTTCTATAGCTATACCATCTCTCTAAACAGCAATTAAGAATAATATAGCTGAGAGGGTCTATGTCCCCCAGGGTACTGCCGGAACGTACCCTAGTACTATCTAATATGCCAAACCGTACCTCGCCTACTCCACTAACGAGTCTAGGGAGTCGCCTACGCCTACTCCCTAACCCTAACCCTAACCATATCAAATAGTTACCAGGGTACGTTCTGGTATACGGGACCGTACCCAGGGTACGTTCCGGCAGTACCGTGGGGGCATAGACCCTATGAGCAATAATATAGTGCTATTTTATCTCCAGCAGAGATAACCTACTAAGAATCAGTGCTCATGTGAAGATAAAGAGAACTGATAAAAGTAGCCAACTGACAAAAATGCACAAATTTCTCAGTTAGTGTGGTTCCATCTTTGTTAATTCAGTATGAAAATGGAAATTCGATACATTCACATTTTCCCTTCATAGGTACATGCTCTTTATATGTTTTCCTTGTTAAACTAATAAAACAAAGTGACGAACAATAGTCAAAACATGAGTTTAATCCTGCACTCCCTAAGAGTTAAATGGTCACTGTGAAGCTGTTCCTTACAATGAAGTAGAAGGGATATAAAGTGAATCACAAATTCTGCAGTAAAATCACAAAATAGAATATTAATTGGTATTAATTACACTAGAACGTAGAACTATAGTAAAGTTCTGAAACAAGTAATGCAGGGCTTATCATTATTATTATTATTATTATTATTATTATTGTTGTTGTTGTTGTTGTTGTTATTGTTGTTGTTGTTGTTGCTTTTGTCGTTGTTGTTAAGTAACCATTATACCAGCCCTACTGCACTTGTAATTATTCTGATGCTGCTTGCTAGATCCAAATCGCCACAAATCTTGCACACACTCAAAAACGTGTGCATGAACACACATGAACGTGCATTTGTTAAATACAATTGGAATTCCACTTATATCCTAAGACACATTTGATTGAGAGACATTACTAGGGTTTACTAGAATCCCACCACTCCACCACAGAGTCACCGCAGTAGACGTTAGATGAGCGCTGTCGCTCTGCGGCACTTGTTTTAATTACTGCAATAGTATCAGCAATGATATTTCAGCCATCGCTATACTATCGCAATAGTAAAATTGTGCCCAATTGTCACCCCTGTCTGTTATTGGGATGGCCCAAGTACCATTGGTATTAATTGGGACTAAGATAAAATATTGCTTGTTTCCCCTTTACCGACCGACTCGCCAAAACGCCGCTACTCGACACATTTTATTGGCCGATTAAAACAAAACAAAAATTATTTCGTTTCGCCAAAAAAAAAATTCAAATTCGTTCCGCAAAAACATATACACAAAACAGAATATACAATATCAGGCATGAAAATTTTCCGCATTTCCGCGGATTTCCGCTTTTTTCCCGATCCCAGAATTGTTTTCGCGTTTTCCGTTTTTTTTCGAGTTCACGTGCAGCATTCGTAATCTACCACGGCATATATGTACATGCAGGCGCACGGTTTATCGAGCGTCTACTGCGGCTGGCAGCAAGCTAGACTGGTACCCGGTCGACAGTTCCACACGCTACACTAACGTCAGTGTAGTGAAGGATATATGCCGGAGTGAAGGTGGCGAACGGGTACCAATCTAGCAGCAAGCCACCTTTATTGTTTTTGCCAAAGGGTAGACTGGTATCCGGCCTCACGCTCTGCGACAAACAGTTCGGTCGTGAACCAGTCTAGCCAGAGGTGACCTTCCAGTGTACCCTGGGTTGCACGCTTGAAACAAACAATTTTTTAAGGGTGGCCTTGCTGTGTATCTGATTGATAGCCTTGTAACAGTTCTAGCCACTAATCAGCATACAGCCAATATTGGTGAATGCATGAGTACAAAGTTCTCGGGCTACGTGACTTTACCCTGGACCTGTACCTCCTAATCTTGAATAGCAGGCCTTAAATTGGTCTGTCATCGTGAGTAAGCCAACTTGCACGCATAAATGGTTGCATACTTTCGTGATATCTCATAGTATGTTTGTAACTTTCAGTCGATATCTGCCATAATGTATGACTGTGGAAAACTATTTCTAATAGCAGTTCATAAACATTTTATATTCATAACATTTTTTACCATCAGAAATAGAATCACGATGTGTGTATATCTAATTTATATATATGTATGAGTGTGTGTATGTGTTTTTTTATTTACATTTCAGATTACCTAGTTGTGTAGCAGCTATAAAGATTTGGTTACTCTGTGCTAATTATGGCACTACATGGAAAGGTGTGTCTGGTGACAGGGGCTACTCGAGGAATAGGCAGAGGAATTGCCCTTCAGCTGGGGGAGTCTGGAGCTACTGTTTATATCACAGGTATGTTGACCGTCCGTCCGTTTGTTCGTCAACGTTTGGCTATGGTCAACGATAACTTGAGACGTGAGAACCGTTTGACCCACATGTTTCAAATTGCATACAGTTGTTACTCCTATGGGAGAGATGTGAACGTCCTATTTTGGAGCACGCAAATTGACCTACTTTTGAGCCACGCCCACTTTTTGTCAAAAATGGAAATGGCCATAAGTCAGTTCAGGTTCAATGGATTTTGCTAATTTTTGGTATGTGAATGAATAAGGACTGGCCCCCAAAACATATCACAAGGGTTTTGATTTTTTTTTAATTATGCAAATTAGGTAGATTTTGGCAATATCACTAGGCATTTCAGTGTCTGCCTACAGTCAATGATAACTCGAAAACCGTTTGACCCACATGTTTCAAACTGCATACAGTTGTCACTCCTATGGGAGAGATTAGAATTTCCTATTTTGGAGCACACCAGTCGACCTAATTCGAGCCAAGCCCACTTTTTGGCAAAAATGAAAATGGCCATAGATTCATTCAATTTGTAAATTTTGGTATATGTGAATGTATAAGGCTAGCCCCAAAACAGTTGTTACTCCTGTGGGAGAGATGACAACGTCCTATTTTGGAGCACGCCAGTCGACCTACTTTTGAGTCATTCTAAACTGCGTTTTTTGGGGGGGTTTGCAATTTTGTAGTACATAGGTTACTAGAAAGTACTTATTTTATGCTAAGAACAATCAAGGAATTGATTTAGAAGAACTTTAGTATAGTACCACTAAATAATGTTAAAACTGCGATGACTAAACTGCGCGTTTGCCTTGTTGGCACTCGCTCATTTGTGTACTTTTTAGCTCATCTGACGAAGACGGATGCAGCTTGTAGAATCGCATGATTGTCCGTGCGTCCGTGCGTGCGTCTGTCTGTCCGTGCGTGCGTCAACAGTTGGGCACAAACCTTAACCGCTCGACGTACGGTGACGATATTTGGGACGTGGGGGGGGGATCGTAAAAAGGACTCAGGATGACAAATTTGGGGGTCAAGGGTCAAAGGTCAAGATGTGTAAACGGAGGGGGAATATTTCCCCCTTAACTTAAGGTATAGGAGGAAATACGGAATTGCGGCACAAATCTTTGCGTGCGTGCGTGCGTGCGTGTGTGTGACGTGTGTGTGGTGTGTGCGCGCCCCCGCGAGTGTGTATTAGCTACTGTGCTTGTGTCTACATTTGAGGAAACAGCCCTGGAAAAAAGTCGCCCTGGAAAACGTGGAAAAAGAGCCCTGGAAAATGAAAAAGTAGCCCCCGAAATTTTGGGGGGGTTTGCAAAAAGAGTCCCGGAAAATAAAAAATACTTTTTTTCACTGTACCGGACCGTACCCAGGGTACGTTCCGGCAGTACCCTGGGGGACATAGACCCTCTCAGCAATAGTATGTAGTAATACCGTACTAATAGTATTGTCGTGCGAGACTACTCGAATATTATACTTGCGGCCTACAGTGATACTTGAAATTTGAATCGTCACTCAGTAGGTATCGCCTAGTAGTACAGTAGTAAGTAGTAGTAGTACAGTAGTAAGTAGTAGTAGGGATGGGAATATTTTGTCGTACTGGCACGCTCATTGTGTGTGATTTCAGATTGCAACTTTTTCCTTAATTCCAGGAAAAAGTTATGCTGTCGCTCTATCATCCCAGCGTTGCCCGTGACCCAGTACATATTTAGTAATGAACTTGCCCCACACGAGTTAAACAATCCTGCGCCCCCCTCGTACATCAATCAATGTCGCCCTAGCCAGGCATGACTCGCAGCTAGGGCCTGCACATACCTCCCAAATCCCATTGGTTGATACAAATCACGTGCCTGAAACTCCTGTTTTATGGTGCATTGTGAGCCTAACCCTGACCCTAACCCTAACCCTAATTAAAATTTAATTAAAAAAATTAAAAAAAAATGTAATTGTTGTAAAAATTATTTGTTGTTATTAAATTGTTGTAAATAAATCATGTAAATATTTGCGTTAATTGGGAAAAAATAGTTTAATGAATAAAGATAGCAAAATACAGAAAACAGGAAAATAATTAAAAAACAGATGGGATTCGATTCAAAGACCTTTCAGCTGTGACGCCAGCGATGTACGCATTTATCCAATTATCCAATCTCATCCCTGCATCAGGACATCACTACCTATTGGTTTCCAGAGATATAGTGAATTTAGTGACCATGTTTTGGGTTAATTTTCTCAACCGTGTGTTACGGATACCATATTAAAACTGGACACACTAAACTGAAAGCCCACATGTTTAAGATCGGGGCAAGTGATAGTCCCCTATGCGACTGTGGCCTCGCCAATGAAACCGTGGAACACAAGTTATTACATTGCTCACGACTCAAGGTTAGCAGGGAGAAGATGACTGACACGATCGAACTGGGGTACGTGTAGACCGAATAATTCTGTCCCATATAACCTTTTTTATATTTTGGTGAGGGTTATTGGTGAGGGTATAGTAC